TCGATATACCTCTAGTCTCTGGACATATTTTCCTTGAGAAACTGGTTTCTCATCCATAGACACCACTTCTTTTTCTTGAAACTCGTGACTGATATCATCAGTACTATCTAAGAAACGTGGATGGCTGTCAATGCTTGGATGCAAATGCATGTCAACCTGCTTCAAAGAGTCAACATCTCCCTCCAAGTCCGGAATTGGTAGTTCGTTTCCAAGAGTAAGAGTAAGATTTTTTATCTCAGTTGATGGGACCTCATAATCTGGAGAACTGCGTTTCATTTCCAGCTTTGGCTCCTCAGCGATGGATTCACTCGTCCACTGCAGCATGGGTACCTGATCCTCACTTGAATGCAGTGCAGGCTTTCGTGCTTGTGTAGTAGCCACATCATGCATGTCAAAATCCACTTGATCTTCTCCAAAAAACATTTGTCTGAATTCTTCAACTTCCTTCACCAAGAAATGCTTTTCCCTCTCCCTCCTAACTAAGATCTCTTTGAGAATGTTCATTTCTTCAGCATCATAAGCAGATTTTTCCTCTATCATCCTTTGATATTGCCTTGCCTCCATTTCTATTGATGCCTTCTCCTCTTGCAGGCGCAATATCATGGCCATGGCCTCATCTGCAGCAGTTGCAGCAGCACTTCTCTCCTTCTCCAGTTCAAGATAGAGAGCAGCACGAGCAGCATGCTCTTCTTCAAGAGCCTGTTCCAGTACTCTAGCTGTAGTTGTCTCATTACTGTCAAAACCTTGCTTCTCTCCTGCTTTGCACCCAGAATCTTCAACAACTGATCCATCCTTCCCTGTCGGTTTAGTTTCATCAATAGATTCTTTAAACTCAGGACGTGAAACGCTATCCGGCGAACTAATATATGTAGGAGCTTCAGTGCAATCTAAAAGTACACAAGCATCCACAGAAAAAAAGAAGAAGCAATATTAGCATAATATGTCCAGAAATAAAGCAATGATATGAGTCTGCAAGATCTTACATATCATTTCAAAATAGTTTCCACAAATATGTGTAAAATTTGGCTTTAGGAAAACACCTCAAAACTCAAACACGAAAGGTAATATCTCATAGTAAATCTATAGTTTAGAACTAAGATCCAATTCAATATTTATGAATTTCCTACTATGAAGCAAATGTCTCATACTGTTTCTTTTTTTGGAAAAAAAAAGTAAGAGATGTTGGTTTTAAAAAAATAAATGTAACAAATATCTCTTCAAATGTTTGAAAACATAACAAAAATGGTATAAAGTTCAATTCTACCACATTATTCCTGCCATGGG